GATTTTTTATTTATTCCCAATTATTTACGGTAAATGCTCCTCAACTTATTTTACAGTTGTTTCTCTGTTTGCGCTTTCATCGATTTCCTTGAATTTTCCTACTAAGCTCTCATATGTCTCCACCTTTTTTTGTCCCTGTTACTATACAGTCCTTGAATTTTACTCGCCAAATGCAAGGAAAACTTTCGTATAGAGCAATAAATTCCCGAGAACATTACCGAAGGTCCGCCATTGTCGCCAGAATCATTGAAACTGAGCACAAATTGAATCGGAAAATGGTACTACCGTCTACACGTTTCGACTTATCTGCGCAGTTCATCGAAATCTATGCTCCGTAGCTCAGATTTTGATGCAACTGCGCAGTCTTCCCGCCGGCTCCAAAACTGCGCAGTTTTCCCGTCCACGCGCAACGGTTTATCTGCAGCGATTAGAACTGCGCAGACAAATCGTTGTGTAAAACTGAGCGTGTGGACCGGCCTTTACTCACTTCTTACGACGAGTCTGCCGAAATACTTGACTGCATCATTGGCGTTTTTGACTTCAAAACTGTAGAGGCCAGCGTCTTGCACCGTCAGGTTCCTCAAAACTTTCGTCACTTCGCCCGCGGCTGCGGGAACTCTTTTTACAATCGCACCTTCAGGGATATTCTCCCAGATGAAATCCTCGCCCACGCTCCTGGTCACCGTCAGGGGAGTGGGTGTGTAGGAGTCTGAAAAATAAATTAAAGAAAGTGTGATGAATCCATGTTGTTTCAATACCGACTAGTAATTGCAACCAGTTTCTTAGCATTCTATTTTCGATATTACCAATGAAAAAACAGTAGATAAGCCGTTCGATGCCTTGTGAAAATTTCCATGCTGAGAATGTGTAAACCGGCAAATGAACGGCCATACAATTAAGTGTGGCAGCCAGAGTCAATACATTAGCGACAACGCCAATAGGTTCTCGTAGTAAAAAACAGGCTGACGGCCATGCAGTCATCGTCTGCGTGTCATGCGCGAATCGCTGATGAACAGAAGCGGGACATCAGAGTCACGCTCGGTCGGCGATTCCGTGTTCTGTATTTCAGTGTTTAGTAGATTGCAGGACTGACCACTGACCTCCAAACTTGCCGAAGACGGCAGTCACGTCACGCTCGGGCTCGTCGCTGAGGCACCGCAGCACCGGAGGGTCAGGGTCGTCATCGAAGGTCGCTTCCAGGTAGTTGGGCTCAGACGTGATCACAACAGATGGGGGGCTGGCCGTGACAGGCGTGTAGTCCCAGCGAGTGAAATGTGGATGTGGCAAACGTCCACTTGAGGCCGGCATGCATGCAGCCTTATAATTTACAGTTGAGCAGTTGTGAAGTGTAATGCAGGCCGCGTCGAATTTTTGTACCGTGAAAACCGCCGGGCCTGCCAGCTTTGCTTCTGATGGATGAATTATGTACAACATGAGCATCGTGATGAATGCATGTAGGAATCACCTTGAATAATAGAATAATGCTGTAAAATTCTGCCCTAGAGGGGGTCGAATTACCTGGTTTGCTCTCAGATAGGTTTAAGCCTTGTATTTAATATTTGTAATCCTACTTGAGCTGGCAAGTATTTTTTATAAAAAACAATGATCAAAGAAAATTTTTAAACATACAAATTGATTGCAATTTTCATTATTATTTATGATAGACGACATTCGTTCTACTAGCAGACGTGTTTATCCATCATATGAAATATGGCTTGATATTAATTTATTTCTCTACTAACGTGATTAAATGTGCAACAAGTTCAAAGGCACCGACGAATCAGTTCGTAAATAAAAATCTCAATTCACTAGCGGATGCAATGATTTCATATTACGAATGGCTTTTACTCATCATTCACATCCCAAACATCCCAGACAGGATACAAATAATGTTTGAAATAGCGCTCTGCCTTGAATGCCGCAGCTTGGGTGTTCGTGACCAGCCGTGCATTTCTCCAAACCTACGAGCGGTTGAGGGGCATCAAAATTGGACAAAATTTTGAGGCTGGATTGCCTCCACCCCCCCCCCCTGAAGGTGAGTGGGAGGATGCGGCATTAACATTGGACAAAAGTTTGCCCTCATTGCCGACTTCACCTGAGGATGTGAGGGAGGACAAGAAAGTGAAGGCGCGCTGAGGTCGACCAGGCCTGGGAAATGAAACCAAAAAGAAATTCATCTTAAATTTGGCATTGGATTGCTTGCAGGTCGAGGACACGGAATAAAATCGGCAACTCATTATCGTGCTTATAAGTGAATAAAAATAGAAGTATCGGGTTGGGTTACGTGCAGAGAGTGATGTAGATTTCTCAGCTTATTTTTTCAGTATTTTTATAAAGAGAGATTTTTTTATTATTGGTTGATGCCGAAGATCATTTTAAGTTATATAATAATGATAATTAAAATTGTAATAAGATCATGCATTGATTTCAGCATGGTTTCAGTTGACTCTCAAAAAGATAAGACTTCGGACTGTTCTAAGTGCGGTGACTGTTGCCACCAGTAATGAGCAGTAATATAAAACTAGCCTACAATATCAATAGTATTTTCCTAAACGATGGCCCGCAGAAGGTTTAACTGCATATTGACTTACTCCACTTTCCTGGATTGCGAGACAACGCGATTGCGGACTGTGCCCACGAAACTCTCGGTGACCTCCAGGGACTTGAAGTAGACTCCTGTGGCTTCCCCAGCCTGCAGGACGCCGGCGTGGAGGGCGGCCAGGCACACCGGCGAGTTCTAGGACGGCGTGGATCAAAGGAACAGATCGGGAGTTATATGATCCAAATCATATAACTCCTTCCAAAGGTCGGAACAGCTGCTTGACGACCTCAAATTGTAGTCACGACTTACACGACTGGCACGATTAGTTTGAGAAATTGAAAAATAATGAAGCATTACATAGGTGAGAATATTGCGCTCAATATTTTTGATTTACTAAAAAAAATTAAAAAATAACACAGTTGCAACAGAATAAAATATTGATGCTCGTTGTATATTTTGAGAGCTGCATTAGGTGAGCGGTTATTGCTTGCGAGGAAGCAGTCGGATATAATAATTGTAAAGTAGTTGAGTTAGTTATAAAACAACGTCTGTAAAAGTTTCGATGATATTTATTCTATCATTGCTGTTCAATTTAACACAACAAAATAATTGATTCTTTTTCTTTTCTTAATTAAGAGCTAGCTTAAGATTAGACGATTTAATTGAATTCATTTCCTAAATCGTACCTCATCTTTTTAAGTGAATTTTCTTCGCATGACAATTATGACCGATAGGCCATTCCAGATAAAGTGAAATTTTTATTATTTTATTTAGGAACCAATATTTCTCCAAATAAATGAGGCGTCCGATATTTTTTGTGAGGAAGCGATGCCACGGGGCAAGGAAACAATCAGATATTCTAAGCCTTTGTCGCATACATTTCTCTACGAAATAATGAATGGTGAATAAGATATCGTTTATTTAACACTCGAAAAGTAAGAGAAACTTTACACATCGCGAGCACATTAATATCCTCAACTGTTAAAAAATATTAATGAGGCGACGAAGCTCGATTTGAAGCCTCGGACAATCTGAGAGAGACTTATTTTGCCTATGGGGATGAATGCTTCGTTCGTAGTGAAATGTTATGCGCTCGGGATGTGCGTTTTAATCATAGATTGATAGTTCGACGCAACAACGTTATGTAATGTGCAATAGCAAGGTTCAAATTCTATTTAATGTTATGAGATTTAACTCAAGTACTCATCAATAATTTTGGTTGCAGATCAGTGATTACGAGTACAGAATTAATTTGATTTGTGAGCTCTAATTACAAACACAGGATACGTGGCATGCACCTAGTCCCTAGTCAGGATGTATTCCAGACCCGAGACATGTTGCGTCACGTCCTAGCCCTGACTTATTACAGTCCCATGACACGTGACATCACAGTCCCTAGCCCTGACTTAACCCATGGCACGTGACATCACAGTCCCTAGCCCTGACTTATTACAGTCCCATGACACGTGACATAACAGTCCCTAGCCCTGACTTATTACAGACCCATGGCACGTGACATCACAGTCCCTAGCCCTGACTTATTACAGTCCCATGACACGTGACATCGCAGTCCCTAACCTTGTTGTATTGCAGTCTCAGGACACGCGACACTTCCAGTCTTCCCCCAGATAGTCTGCGTGTCTCACCTCATCGTAATACAGAGTCCCTGTTACTGGGAAGCGCCCTCCGTTGGCCGCGGCGTACGAGGTGTTCCTCCATGCCGTGCACGAGCTCGGACAATCATAGATGTAACTGCAGGAGGAAGAAACTGGAATTCAGTAGAAAAATGTGAGATTATATGTACATTTTTTGCTTACATTTTTACCTGATTCTTGTGATAATGCTAGGAACACTGTCATTTTTCCCAGCAATACCTGTTTAAAAGGCTAAAAAGTTCATAGAAGCATCCAAAATAATAAAGGTATCAATTTTATTGATGGTAACGTGAAGAAGATCCAATTTACCACACTCAAAATATTCAAACTAACTTAACAAACGTAGATCTGTAAGCGCCGGCAAACGTTTCTGAACACTCCGCATCGTCTGCGGGGGACTGCGCCGCTGCCAGCACCAAACCCAGCGCCTCGCCGCGAGATGCCGTCGTCATTCTGCCCACGTCACCAGCGCGACTCACTTCTTAGAAGAAATATTCACTTCAAAGAAAAATAAAGAAGTAGCATCTCGTGCTTACTTCATTTAAGGGGGAGGTATCGCCTCCAGACAAACTTCCACAATTACCTACGGATGTCCTTGAAAATTTACACATATATGTAAAACCTAAATACAAGCACATTTTGTTCGTAGGATTTTTTCGGAAAAATGCAAAGAAAACGTGAAATTCATAGAAAACGGCCAAAAAAGGGGTACATTAAAAATCTATTTCCTCCTACAGTTTTGAAGCTACAGAAATGAGACATATACCATTCGATTTGTAAAGACCATACCAATCGAGTAACGCAGCCCGATTTTTTATTTTTGCCTTAGTTTTTTTTACACTCATTTTGCCGTTTTTTCTAATTTTCTTATGATTTCCCCCCCCCTCCCCCCAATTTCAATCCAAACTATGCACAAATCTAAAAAAAGGCTTCGTTACTCGATAGGTATAGTTTTTACGAATCGAATGGTATATGTCTCATCGCTGTTGCTTCAAAACTCTAGGAGGAGATAGGTTTTCCGTGAGGGCGCACTGCAATAGGCGCTCAATGTAGCATAGATACGAAACTAAACGTTTCTGGAGCTTGATTCCACTCAAGGATGGTGGGAGCGACTTCATGCACACCTCTCCCTACAAAGACCGGAGGTGCACTGAGTCAGACTGCATATGTAGTGCTGCGGCAGCGAATTAGTTCCTATGTAATTACTGAAAGAACTCACCCCCCGCCCCCCTTTCATGAAGTGTCGTGTACGTAAACATGAACGTACAGAGATGACAATGGTACCGTTGGATAGGTCAAAATGTCAGCTTTAAGATGAGACTAAGCACGTAACTGCAGCACAACTCAAGTAGACACTATATTTAAAGATCTCAGCAGCTAATTAGTTCCAATCTAATTACTTAAAGAACTCTCCCACCCACCCCCCTTTCATGAAATGTCATGAAAACATAAATTAACGTACAGAGATGGCAGTGGTACCGTTGGATTGGGCAGAATGCCAGCTTTAAGATGAGACTAAAGACCGGAAAATGCCAAATCCAAAAATTTTAGGCGATACCTCCCCCTAACTCTATTAAAATACAGTAAAAAATGATAGGCATCATCGGACATCGCAGAAACATTCGTTCGACAATCGCATCTTAATATTAGGATGCTTCGGTAAGATGCACTGCGAGTGCCACCAACATCCCCGCTTTTGAATTATAATTATTATAATTCAACGGAGCGATGATCAGGGTGTCTGATTCAAACGACCTTAGAAGACACGTTACGCATAAGTTTCATAGTAATTGAAAAATAAAAATACATGAGAAAGGACGAGAATGGATAAAAATAACTGAGCAAAGAAGGAGCTGATGATCAACGAAACACCGGCAACGAAGGAGCCCATGTTACGGAAGACGGCAGACTGTTGCAGGTTCTGGCGGCGGCGACCGGGAACGCTCTGTCGCCAATGGAAGATGGACGCGTACAAGGTACGACGAGACCTGCTGTTGAGGACGAACACATCCGCCTTCTAGATGGCAGATCCGACACGCGCTGCAGACCTTCTGCGAGATGAGGAGACGCCAGACCTTTAAACACTATTTGAAAGTGTTTAATTAATAGTGTTCAATAGTGTTCAATAGTGGCTTTAAGGGGAGCATGTCGGTCAGAAATCGAAAAATTTGACTTTTCCGGTTTCTTGGCTCATTTTGTAGCTGCTGAAAAAGCGCGTCTAACGCAGCAAATCTCATGTATGTGCGTGCTCTAGTTTGTTCGTAAAGCAATTCCAAAAAAAAAATAGAAAATAAACATTTTTTAACAATATGTACTAAGATTTCTTTACATTAAATCGGTATTTATATATCATTAGTCTCGTTAATTGCAAAGTGTTTGCACTTGTTTGAAAACTACAAACAAGAAGTGTTCAATAAAGCAAATAACATGGATGTACATGAAATAGTTTTTGCGTAGGGCTGTTATAGAATAGAATAGAATAGAAGTGTCGGCACTGCCCATGAAGTGTCGGCAAAAGAATAGAAGTGTCGGCAATAGAAGTGTCGGCACTGCCCATGGCCTGTTGCCGATTCTTGAACTTTTCGTGACTTGATTCACAAGGGATCCGGCCTTTGGGACCCGATCTTTCCATAGCTGACGATTGATTGAGATAGCTGCTGGACTTATTGCCTGCTCTGTAATTTGCTAGGCATTTTAAGACTGAACATATGCTCCTGCATATCTTCGTCTATTCTGTTCTTGAAGGCGTTCATACTCGGAGCGTCAACGATGCTATCAGGGTGGCTGTTCCACATGTCGGTGACTCGAAGCGAGAAGAAATGTTGTCGCATGGATGTGTTACAACGCAGTTTTTTTAGTTTATAGCAAAAATATACAATGATTCCAAAATGCGCAGATCGGAAGCACCAGAACTTTAAGATAAAACCTTAAAGTCAGTGTCGGGCACCGGAACGTTGCAGTGTTCGGCGTGAGTGCGCACAGCCAAATAAGGAGGGCGCGATAGTAACTGCCCAGTCCTATAACTCCTCCCTTTATGCTTAGTGACCCTAGTGTAAAGGTTGCGTGCCATCATCCCAACGTACGCAGATGCACATCGTGCACAACTAAATTTATAAACTAGGGACGATCGCATCTGAGAAGGGAGGATATCTTTGTACCTAAAAAACGAACCTATTTTGAAATTATTCATCAGTAAGATACGAAGATTAATGTCCGGAAAGTATTTCATGAACAAATCTCTTAATTCTCTTGACATAACTTCGGACGCATGGCCGAAGTATGGAAAAGAACAGTAAACATCTTTTCTACTACCAGGCTCTGGAACAACTTCACTCTATCGCTTAGACATGAATTTCTTGATCTGGGTAAACACCATGCCAGAAGGAAATCCATTAAGCGAGAAGATATTGCGCATAAATTCAAATTCAGAATGCATGGCAAGGAAAGTCGAGCATATACGAAAGCCGCGGTGTAATAGTGTTTGAAGCCCGTTTAACTTGAATCTAAAAGAACAAAAACTAAAAAGCTGGTGCTTAGGCTGGTGAAAGTTGATTTTCTG